ACAAATTATGGAACTTTTTTCAAAGTTAATTTCCTGGCCTGAAGCTTGCTGATAATCCTTAAGGAACTTCTTAAAATTAACCAATGATCTAGCCTCTCCATTTAGAAAAATAAGCAAATCATCCGCAAAGCCTAGATGAGAAATAGGAAATCCCTGATTGCCCATCCAGAAAGGTTTAATCCTGCCATCTGCCATCATCTTATTTAGACCCCTGGAAAAAACTTCTGAGGCTATAATGAATAGGAATGGGGATAAGGGGTCCCCCTGCTTGACTCCTCTAGAAGGCTGAAAGTAGCCATGTGGTGTGCCATTAATAAGCACAGAAAGAAAAGTGGATTTAAGGTTATTCATAATGAGATGAACCAGCTGCTTAGAGAACCCAAACTAAATCATAACTCTGGACAAGAATTCCCAAGAGACTTTGTCAAAGGCCTTTGCCATGTCCAACTTGACAATGACATTAGACCCTCTTACCTTTTTGTCAATGCAATGTACCATCTCCTGAGCTATGAGTATCTGATCTGAAATATCTCTGTTAGCCATAAAACCTGCTTGTTCCTGTGATATTATCTTATGCAGAACATGCTTGAGCCTTGAGGCCAAAATCTTAGTACAGATTTTGATTGAAAAGTTGGACAAACAAATAGGCCTGAAGTTGCTAAAAGATGAGGGATTTTCTGATTTAGGGATGAGAACAAGTTGAGAGCTAGATAAACCTTTAGGAATATGATGCCCCATAAAGAATTCCTGAGTAGCCCTGAGAACATCCTTACAGATTATATTCCAACATTTCCTATAAAACTTACCATGAAAACCATCAGGTCCAGGAGCACTGTTCTGACTTAAATCCCACACTGCATCCTTCACTTCTTCCAAAGTAGGTATTTGAGTTAACATAAAGTTGTCCTCTTGTGTTATAAGTTCTGGAATATTGTTCATTAGCTCCATATTGACTTCTGTTTCTTGCCCTGTGTATAGGTCAGAAAAAAATTTAACTGCAGCTGTTCCAATCTGAGAATTAGATGTTGCCAAAAGTCCATCCTTGTCCTTGATGGAGGTAATACATTGTTTTCTCTTTCTTATATGCACAAAAGAATGAAAGAAATTACTATTGCAATCTCCTTCCTTCAACCAGTTTAGATGAGCCTTTTGCTTCCAGAATTTTCTCTCCAAGTTGTATTTTTGAGTGAGAAGACTCTTTTTGTGAAACCAGTTCTCCCTGTTGATATCACTAGGATTGCTTTCAAACTCTTTTTCTGCCTCCATAACTTCATTTTCACACCTCTTGATGTCATCAAAGATATTTCCAAAAATATCCTTATTCCAATCCCTCAGATCTTTCTTCAGAAATTGCAACTTGCTCACTAAACCCCTCATACCTCCTCCTATCTGGATTGAACCCCACCTATCTTTCACAAAGTCCATAAAGGAATTATGCTTCAACCACATATTTTGGAATCTAAAGGCTTTAGGTCCAGATGAACCAGTGTTAGAACACTGTGTGAGAATAGGAGTATGATCAGATTGAGAACTATTAAGAATAGAGATTTTGATATTATCAAAGGTATCCAGAAATTGCTTATTAAATAGTACTCTATCCAATCTTCTCCATACTCTCCCATTTGATCTATTTCCTGTCCAGGTATATTGAGGCCCATCACAAGGAAGGTCAATAAGATTACAGGCAGATAAACAGTCAGAGAATTCAGTCACCCCTCTGAGGACTGGTAAGGAAGTCCCTTTATGCTCACTATATTTAGCAATTTCATTAAAATCCCCTCCCACAATCCAAGGATCTTTAATATTATGAGATTTGTTAATAAGAGCATCCCAAAGTTCCCTCCTAATGGTGTAAATGTGTCTGGCATATACTCCAGTAGCCCAGCCTGAAAATAAATTACCTTTAATCTTGCAATGAACATATTGAGTGTGCCAGCTGAAATCAGACAGACTCATTTGGGAAGTATCCCAGAAAATCCAAATTTTGTTAACATTAGAACAAGCTGCCCCATCAAAGCCCAAAATCAGCTTGAATTTATCAATCTTAGAGCAATCTGACATAGGTTCAATAACAAACAAAATATGTACCCTCCATTGTTTGACCAGGGAAAATAGCCTAGAACTGGAGGATTCCAGGCCCCTGGTGTTCCAGAATAAACAATTCATGGAGACATTGGTTGGGCATCCTGCCCCCTAGTCACACTTCTGGTATTTCTCTTCATTTGATTATCCTCCACAGGTTTCTTTTTGTTCCCTTTTCTTGTGATTTTGGTAAAAGTTTCCTCATCCTGTTGGTATTCAGGATCATTGCTACTCTGGACTTGATTATCTCTCTGCTGCAGGTCTTCTTCCCCTGCCTTCATCTGGACTATAAAATCCACACCCTTACAGATTTGAGGCCAATCATCAAGAAAAGTGTCAGTATTGACAGGTATGTCAAGCTCCCCATCTGAGTAGTAATCCCTACTCTGTTTAGCAGGCTCATCCCCTAGTATTTTATCAAGTTCCTGGATGAAAATATCATCTTTGATACCTTTTATTTCCTTAGGATCAGAGTGAATGATCCCAGAAATGTTTGATTTGAGCAACTCTTTAATTTGATTCTTAATCTCCATGGCAGGCTGCTCCAGTGGATCCAAAAAGACTTCATCTTCCTCATCTGAAGAGATTTCCTGTCGAAAGCCCTTAGATGTTGATTGCAAATTTGTATCGAATTGTTCCGCATTTTTTTCTTTACCTTTTTGTGCCCATGTCAGTTTTGTAATCTGCTTGTGTGCATGCTCTTTCTCTGCTTTTTGTTTATGACCCTGGTCTGTATACACTCCTTTAATCTGTTCAACCTTTTTCTTAGGACATTTTTGATGAGCATGTCCTAAGTGAAGGCAAGCCGTGCAATAGTCTGGTCTATTTTCATAGATCACAGACTGAGAAAATCCTGATGAGCCACAATTAATCCAAACCCTTTGGGGCATCTCCTTAGTGAGATCAAGCTCCACACATATTCTAGCAATGGCTGGCCTAGATAGGGCAGCTGTTGCTGAATCTGTTTTCAATGGCTTACCAATGAGCCTAGCAATGTCAAAAAGAGCCCGTTGATCTTGAAGATGAATTGGTAGACCCTCCAATGATATCCACACCAGAACCAACGGTGATTCAACGTTAGGCCTAAAGTCCGGAGTCCACCTAGTCACTCGCATAATATGCCCTTGGATAGACCAAGCCTGTCTATTCCAACACCTGATAAAGTCTTCCTCCATCTCAAACCTAATGAGAACGTGTTTAGGGTCCAGGACTCCAAGATGGAAGCTCCCTTAAAACCAATAATTTCAAAAGCCTTACGAATCACCAATAAGCTGGGCTTTCCTTTGAAGAAATAACCTATTAACGCAAGCTTATGCTTTTCCGCTAACAAGTTAATTTCCCCGTCTGTAAAACTGATCACTGGCATCCCTTTGTACCGCGATGGGATTTTTTCCGTCAAAGACAATGGCCGATCTGCCACCACATCTGCGAAAGATTTACCCGACCAAGCACGACCAACCCCTGGTGGCACCGCCACCGCCGCAGCCGTCATGCGATCGCTAGAACTAATCCTATCCATTCCAACAAGCTTCTACTAATCAAGAGGAGGGCCCCAAACTTTGAACTTATAGATGGACGGCTCTATAAAAAGACGTTCGGGGGGCATATTTGAAGTGCCTTCCGCTCGGTCTTGTAGCGGCATTGATGGAGGAGATTCATAAAGGGGTCTGTTCAAGCCACTATGGGCCAAGGACATTGGCGAAGAATGTCATCCTACAAGGATACTATTGGCTGTCCATTCAACAAGACTGCTTCCACTATACCCGGAAATGTGCTATGTGACACTGCACCCAAACATCCTTGAAATTAAATTTAAGATTCAAAGTTGATGTATTGATTTCCCTATTATCAAACAATTGTAAAACGATTAATGCTTTACATAATGTATGATTAATCGTACTATCGTTTAGGCCCGTATTATAATGATGGGTTTCCAAACACTTCACTGGACTATCTTATTAGATATAAGAGCCCAACATTATGTGAAGAAATATTCATAACGCTTCTAGACAAAATAAGGAAGGTTCGACAGCCCAAAAGCTACTCTAGGCCCAACCTGCTAAAAATAGTTGGTTTGACGGAAAGGGATATGCTAGAACTACTTGAGGGTAACCCACACCTATTACAGACTCCAAAAAAATATTAGGAGGACTATTCTAATTGATAAATATCAATAAAGGGATGAGGTAACCCTAGAGACAAAAACAAACTCATATGGTCCCATCTTTGACATTATTAAACTAAATAATGAGAGTAGAGTCTTCTCCTATAATTGTACGTCATATGAATTATTGGGACCATCCTACATAAATTAGAGATCAATAATACGATGTAGAAAGCTGATTTAGTCTAAATAAATTAGAATGAGTACAAAAATACATCACATAACAAAAGATAAAATAATAGGACCCATTATTCCATTTTTGGAAGTATTGATAGATATTTGATCCCAAAATAATTGGGACCATTTGGGAAGCATCCCACACAACTTAGAAACCTGAAAAATAAGAGGAAGGGGGTTAGAATCATTGTTAGGAGTCAGGACGGCCACATGAATAAGGGGGCTGCACATAATGGAAAAGTCAAGCTCGGGACCCTCATTTGTACTAATAGTGATACCTTTGTGAGCTGTGATGTTTCTCCTATCATTTGAGTGAATGAGGTGTCTTTAGAAAGCTGGAGAAAATCTCTATCCACGAGCTTCATGTTTTGGAGAGGAAAAGAGTCCACACAAATAGATAGGAGGGGAGATAGGGGAGTGCTGCGTACAACTTCTCACAGTGCGAGTGTTGATTTTGTTCACCTCATATCTCTTGAGAATCCCTTATTCAATCCGGCTGATTGAGGTGTATTTGGAAAGTTATTGAATAGAGCTTTCATAAAAGGTGCTATTCTGGAAAATTGGAGGAGTTTACATTCCAAAAAGGGCGGATATACATCGAGGTAAGAATCTGAATTCCAAAACAGTGTATTTGATTTCAGTGATTGTTAATAGCCCATAGTATAGGGACATCTTTGTAATTATTTGACTCTTGGTTTATTATAAATACATCCCTAGCAAACCCTATTAGGGTGAGCAAGTATTCCACAAATTATATTGCATATGGTATCAGTTGCCTAGGTTATAACCCAGAACTTCCGCGTCGTCTCTCTTCTCCCATGACGATCGCCGACTCCCAGGAGGGCTCCTCTACTGTCGTTACTCCTTCGTCTTCTACGGCGGTAAGCATGGCCATACCTTCTCCTCCTATGGCGCCCAATACAAGCATGGTACATCCCACCTCATTTGTCCCTCGTTGCCCTCTTTGACCTTCGAAGAACTTTCTGCGACCCCGGGTCTACGCATGAGGCTAGGCCTTCAAGTTCCGCTGCCTCTGAATTCCTATCGTTTCTTTAACATGCCGGAACCCTTCACATGGACTCCCACTGCGGTGACCTCTTCTGCCTCTATGCCGCAGTACGTGTCATCCGCATCCATGAATCCTTTTCCGGGTTTCGGTGGCTCCTCTTCATCGCAGGCCATATATTCCGGTCCAGCATTCTCTGGACAGCCGGGCATCGCTCCTTTACAGCCGTAACAGTCTGCACACTTACCAGGTTTTTCATCTCCTCCCACTTATTTGGCATCATTGGCATCCCACATGGCGTTTTCGACGCCTAATGTTACACATAATGCGACTAGGTTGAATGCGGTTGAGGATGATCTCACGTGGCGTACTCAATTCGAGTCCTTTCTTGTCTCCCATAGTCTTTTTGGGTTTCTATATGGCTCTGTTTTGACACCGCCACAATTTACTCTTGACATTACACGACGGGAGATGCCCAATCTATAATATCATCACTGTTTAAAATTTGATCAAACCATTAGATCATGGTTATTTTCTACATTGTCCCGTGATATCCTTATGGAGGTCCATGATTTAAAGGTTTTTGCCAGAATTTGGGAGTGTCTTGAGACTAGATTTATGTCTGCTTGTTTGGCTCGATCCTTGGAACTTAAAAGGCTACTGTCGCACATTAAGAAGAAAGAAAATCAGTCAATGGACCAATATTTGTTGGAAATTAAAGTTCTAGCTGATTCCTTAAATATGATTAATTCTCCCGTGAGTAATAAGGAGCTCATTGAATATACCATTAATGGTTTGGGTCCTGAGTATTAATCCTTAATTACTGCTGTCACTTATTTTCCAGGAGCTGCAAATCTGGCTAGTTTACGCCCTATCCTCCTCGCTCAAGAGCAGCGAAACTTGTTTCTTCGTGCACGGGGTGCTGCTCGCGGTGGCCCCCTAGTGATCACGGGGGTGCTGCTCGAGGTCATGGAGGCAGAAATCACGCGAACCATGGCCATCGTGGGGGTAGTGGTCGCGGGCAGCGCGGACGTGGAGGGGGGCATGGAGGTAATTTTCTGCAGCCACATGGGACCATATGCTCCGCATTTTCAGCCACCGCAGGCTGGTCAGCAGTACGGCCAGCCCTTCTATGGTGCTCCTCGGGGTCCTTTTCATCCGGGAAATTCAGGTACACTATTAAGTAATATCCAGTGTGGTTATTCATACTTTAATAATTTATCTGCTTGTGGTACTAACAACACCAGTACACGTTTTCCATCTGTGGATAGCTCACCTCCACCTCCAGTTGTTTGCCAAATCTATTTTTCCCCAGGTCACTCTGCGTTTACTTGTCCTCATTTTGTTGGTTCTTCTACTCCGGCTTTGGCTGCTATACCCTCAGGTGAATCCAACGCTCCTGTGTGGTACCCTGATTCAGATGCCTCTGCCCACATGACCCCTCATGAAGGTATTCTCTCTTGCAAATCTCCTTACGCTGGCTTTAAAAGGGTGCAAGTTGCTAATGGTACTAAATTGCCCATATCTCATGTTGGTAAAGTAACTTTAAATACGCGTGGTCGCCCGCTAATTTTAAACTCCATTTATCATGTCCCACATCTAAAATATAATTTGTTATCTATTCATAAGTTATGTGCAGATAATGATTGTACGGTGAATTTTAATAAAAATTCTTTTTTTATTAAGGACAATTAGACGGGGGTGCATCTTCTTCAGGCTTCCAATAAAGACCATCTTTATTTGTTCCATGCTCTTCAGACTACCCTTATTTCTGGACCTACTTGGCACAAACGTTTGGGGCATTGTGGTGATAGAGTCTTGCATACGCTACGGCAAAAACATTATATTTATGCTTCTAGTAATTTTTCTCATAACTGTGTTTCATGTAAACTGGGTAAATCCCATAGACTTCCTTTTAAAGATGTTATTCATTCCTGTGTAGCTCCTTTAGAACTTATACATTCTGATGTTTGGAAATCGCCGGTTTTATCTAATCTTGGTTATAAATACTATGTTTCTTTTGTTGATGACTTTTCTAGGTATACTTCGGTTTATCCCATGCGTTATAAATCAGAGGTTTTTCATCATTTTGGTAATTTTCAAATTTTAGTTGAAAATCTTTTAGATAGGAAAATTAAATCTTTTCAAAGTGTTTTGGGTGGCCAATTTGATAACACTACTTTTCAAAATCATTTTTTGAAATCAGGCATTTTATTTCGAAAATCCTGTCCCAATACACCTGCCCAAAATGGAGTGGGTGAACGCAAACACCGCCATCTTTTTGAACTTACTAGGACTATGTTGATTGAATCTTCAATCCCTTCTACTTTTGGGTCAATGCCTTATACACTGCCACTTATATTGTCAATCGCTTACCCACACCCATTTTGAAAAATTTAACTCCTTTCGAGAAGCTTTTTAATAAATCTCCGGATTTTAATTTTCTGAGTTTTTGGTTGTAGTTGTTTTCCAAATTTTATTGCCAAGTCATCCAATAAACTCTCACCTCGCTCCACACATTGTGTTTTTCTAGGATATGCCCCAGGTTATAAAGGTTATCATTGTTTAGACCCCGTTTCTGGTAAGGTTTATATTAGTCGGGATGTTCAATTTCATGAGAACGATTTTCCATATTCCAGTCTTATCCCCCCCACTTCCACTACGCTACCCTATACCTTACCCTCCCCTTGGGTCCCTACCTTTGCTATGATCGGCCCTGCCCTTCCCAGTTCACCTGTGGCACACCATCATTCCCTTCAACCTCAGTCCAATCCCAGCCCGACGTCACCCATAATATCCCTTAGCCTGCCAGTCCATATTCCTCCTGCTGACCCCCCACTCCGCCTTCTGGCCCACAGCAGTCTCCTGCCGCTCCCTTAAGTCCGCAGTCCACTCCTCCTGCATCCCCAGACCAGCTGTTCGAGACTCCCTCAAAGCCAGCCCCCACATCTTCCTCCCTTAGACAGCCAACTCTCTCACCTGTCCCCCTTTCTTTACCTCATAATATACATCCCATGAAAACCCGTGTTAAAGATGGCATTTTTAAGCCGAAAACTATTTTTAATTTAAGTGTTGTTTCACCCCCGGATGATCCCACTTGTTTTTCTCAGGCTCAAAAACATTTTATTTGGCGAACTGCCATGGCGGATGAATTTAATGCTTTACTTGCTAATAAGACTTGGTATTTAGTTCCTTATGACAACACTAAAAATATAGTCGGTTGTAAGTGGGTTTACAAGACAAAATATAATTCTGATGGGACTGTGGAGCGTCACAAAGCTCGGTTGGTTGCTCAAGGGTTTAAACAGCAGGCTGGTATAGATTTTACTGAGACTTTCAGTCCTGTTGTCAAACCCACTACTGTGCGTCTTATTTTATCTATTGCCGTTTCTCTTGGTTGGTGTATTCGTCAATTGGATGTCAAAAATGCTTTTCTTCATGGTCATCTGACTGAAGAAGTATACATGCACCAACCACCAGGTTTTATTCACCCACCCTTCCCTCATCATGTATGTCACCTTAAGAAGCCTTTGTATGGTTTGAAACAAGTTTCGCGAGCTTGGTTTCATCGTTTCAGTGGCTTTCTTTTGACTCATGGGTTTTCCCAGAGTAAGACTGATTCTTCTATGTTTGTTTTTCAGGATCGCTCTCAGGTAGTCTATATCCTTCTCTATGTTGATGATATTTTAATTACATGATCCTCTTTATCCTTCGTTTGGTCTGTCATTTAGTCTCTCTTCTCAATTTGCTATGAAGGATTTGGGTGACATACATTTTTTCTTGGGTCTTCAGGCTCGTCATACCTCTAAGGGCTTATTCCTTTCCCAACAAAAATATATCTCTGACTTACTACGACGTTTTCATCTCCATACTGTCAAACCTGTTAGTACTCATTTACCATCTCGTACCACCCTTTCTCTTATAGATGGAGAACTTCTTACTGATGCTACTGAATATCGCAGTACGGTAAGTGCTTTACAGTATTTGATTTTGACTAGACCTGATATTACTTATGCTGTGCACTTGGTTTCTCAGTTTATACATGCTCCTCGGACTACTCATGGATTACAGGGTACGGTGGATCATGGATTATGGCTTCAGTCCGATTCTGCTATTTCTCTTATTGTTTCCTATTCTGATGCGGATTGGGCTGGTTGTCCGGACAGTAGCCGTTCTACGACAGGTTATGCTATTTTTCTAGGTTCTAATTTGATTTAATGGAGATCCAAGAAGCAGCCCACAGTCTCTAAGTCTTCCACTGAAGCTGAATATCATGTTATTGCTTACACAGTTCAGGACACATTATTTATCCGATCTTTACTCGCCGATATGGGCCTGTTTATTTCGCATCATGTTCAGCTTTATTGTGACAACGTTTCTGCTTCTTATTTGGCGGTGAATCCCATACATCATGATCGCAGCAAACATATCAACATAGATTATCACTTTGTTCGGGAACGCGTTGCTCATGGAGATCTAGTAGTTAAATATGTCCCTACTCAGTTACAGTTAGCTGACATTTTTACTAAAAATTTGTCTAGTCAGCGGTTTGAGTTTTTACGTTCCAATCTGTGCGTTGTTTCCCCTGCACAGATTGAGGGCGTGTAATAGCCCATAATATAGGGACATCTTTTTAATTATTTGACTCTTGGTTTATTATAAATACATCCCTAGCACATCCTATTAGGGTGAGCAATTATTCCACAAATAATATTGCATAATTGTTACTCCTATTTCTTGAGCACCTCTCAACCGAATTGAACGTGTAAGATATCTATGGAAACCTCTAAAAACTTAGTTTCTGGGAAGGTGCATCTTGCAACGAATGGATTAGAGGAAGATCTCCGAATCAACGTAGAGAAACACAAACTCGCAGAACGGTTTTTATTCTCTAAAGTGAGTTTGGATCCAGAACTTTCATTTTCATTAGCTAAATTATGTGAACGATTGAGGGAGCTATTATAAACTATTAAAAGTGTATAATATTTCCTTTAAAAGGTTGTTTTATGCATTTAAAGGTTAGATACTAACCCAGAATAAACCTTGAAAGGTTAGCGAGCGAACTCGCCGAAAAACACCCTTTCTAGGGGCTGTTTTCATACCGTTAGTTAGGGGTCGAGATAGCACTTGAGGAGGCTGCCTAGCACCCATTTATAAACAAGGAAGGTGAATCTCATTTGAGGTGAGGATGGCTGACTATATTGCTTATAATTAGTGAGTCAATTTCATAAGATTACGCAAGGTATTCAAATGTGTTTTTCATGGATTATTAATGATTAATAATGCCTAAAATGAGAAGACTATTGACTATAAAGATAAGTAGCATAATATACATATTTAGTGTAAATTATGTATGTTACGTGTTGTATAAATGATGACATGCTAGTTGGATAACTATGAAGTTTGTTGATAAAATATGCTTTTACTTCATATAAAGATTATATGCATGTGAAAAGTGATATTTTGTATATTGAGATACATTATATTTTTGGTTGGAGAAATCAGTTTGAATTGTCTATGTGATCATGGATTGAGAACTTGGTTTGTTAGAACTAATCCGGCTAATATTAAGATATTAGTTGGGGCATTAAAGTGAGATTATGCTAGAATTGATCTTAAGGTTGGATTGTGAGATATTATACCTTAAGTAGTCTTAAAAGATGCTTTAATGTAGAATTGTATGAGCTCGAAGTTATACTAGGGGTAGGCCTTAAAGGCTACCCATGATAAAGTGATTATTGAATTGATCCTAAATATAGGATTGGCCTACGGGTGTTTTCGGTAGTCCTTGAGGATAGCCGGGTTAAGTATGGTAAAGAAAGTAAGGACCATGGCCCTTCCCGACTCTAGAGAGCGGGGTTGGATAGAATGGACCTGCAGCGTGATCACGTGTAGTAGTGAAGTCCGAACCGAAGATCTTACGAGACTCTCGACTGCGGTAACACTTAAGATAGGACCCTGAATGGACCTTACCTTCCTACGGGATGATGGGCATGAGTCCAGGGGTGAGATGTTGGACACCGGCCCGAGGACCCGATGAGGCCTCCGACAGCGGTGATAAGTCTCGTATGATTGATAAGACCTATGGGTTGTGTCGTACGAACAATGAAAGAACTGGAATATAAAAAGGGGTCTGTGTGCCGACAAATTAACTAATTAACTTATTATAAGGATAATAGGAGGAAAAGAAGAATTATCATTATATTATGATATCACCCTATTTGAGGGTCTTAGAAATTGAAAGATTGATTATATGCAATGTAGTTGTCATTGTAATTTTCAAATGCTTCAAAGTACTGACCTCCCCTTCACGGGGGAGGCCACCTCACAGTTTCAGGTAGAATTTGAAGCTTGCTACCAATGCCCGTTGCTTCGGGAGGATCTAGGAGAGAAGACGTGGTTTGTGCTTCCTCCATTTCTATTTTAAAAACAATTACATTGATGCTCATGGATATTATTTTCTGAATAATTATTTGGGGGCTTGTATGCCTAAGTTTGCCAAGTGTGGCTTGAACACTTGTACTATTGTTTCCGCTGCTTTAATGAATATTTTACATTTTTTTTATGGATGTACTACGTGTGAATGATATTCAAGATGCCTAGTGATGGATAGTCTACCCGGGGGGTATATATCCGAGGGGTTATTGCTGAGAATAACTTAGAGAGAAGTCAGAGCAAATAAGTAAGAGAGAGAGAGTGTATATTCGATATGTATTGAGCGTGGTTTACAATGGGGGAAAGGGGTGCTATTTATAGTAGTAATAAATGCTAGATAAGGACACGTGTCAGTTTTCTGGTGGTCGAGGGGTCACCTCGACCGGGGTGGCACTGGCACTCGCATGTGGCCGCATTAAATGCGGTGGTTGGATGTGAGGTTTGTACTTGGTACGGTGATCCAGGCGCATGTGAAGAGGATATTCTGTCGAGGTGGATGCCTTAGGCTGAAGGGTGCTGGGCCGAAGGCTCTTCTAACCGAGGGCTCCTACCTGCCGAGGGCTGCAGGTGCC